AACATCCCAAAAGTTCTAAACCCCTAATCCCCTACACCCATATATCTTAAACCCCAAGCAAAACCCCAGACCCTAAGACCCTAAATACCAAAGCCCTAGACCCCAAAACCCCAAGTGCCAAGAACAAACCGAAATCCGAAGGTCGAGATCCGGTGCAGAGCGCCTGGGCAGAAGAAGAGTCCACACCTGGGTCGTCACTCATCCGCGCATCAGTACGGTTGATGATATAAATCTGCATTACCCATAGTAGGGAATGTACCCTTTTCGCATAGTTTAGGGTCCTTAAGGTAATGCAGGATTTCTATCATCAACAATGTAGGGGTGTTCCAGGGTTGCAGCACGGTCTTTACGAAAGTTCTATAAATGGTTGGGAAACTCATTTCGGCCTCGGTGCTGTAATTTTCTCTCAAGGTGTCTTTCAAGGGCCTTCAAGGGCTCTAAATTTAGGGGTTTCTCTTCAATGCGTTCATCTGCTTTCAGTCGTTGGGTTTGCTGTCCGGACTTTGGCAGCCTTTGGCAGGACGAGATGATGGGTGGCTAGTGAAGCCGCAGCAGTCTCAACACGACGTTGAGAAGCCTTCACTCTAAACCTTAATCCTCTAACCTATGCTGCCTCAGCAAACCCTGCTGCTCCAGGTACACAGAAGTTGACAATCCGACCCTAATTTGTTCCAGGTGCCTATGTTGAGACCCTGCCTCATTCAGGCATTTCAGGTTTCAGCTGTGACGGAACTCAAAGCAGATAGGGCCGAAGGTCCATGGTATGAGCATTCAGGGTTTAGGGCCGATTGAGGGTATCTACGCCTGAGAGCATTTCAAGCTCCAGAGATTTATGAACCCTGCCTTTGACCTGACACAACTGAACGCCCAAGCCCCAAAGGCACTAAACCCCCATATGCCTCATTATAACCAAAATGACCCACTCATGAAAACCATGAGGGCTCCTCTATTGAAGGGTACTTGGGCTCTATTTGGGTTCTTGCCAGACCGCTACAATTCAGTGCTCCCGAGTCCAGATGCCCCTAAACCTCAAAGCTTCAGAAAGAGCCCGTTTAAATCGATCCCTTAAAGGAACCCCTGTATAGATCCATTTAAAGGCCACCGAGCGCCTTCGGTGATGCTATTGAAAATCTGCTCCAACGTTGCTTGGGACACGGTGTACCTCGCAGGAACAGCGCTGGAGCTTTCCTGGAAAAGGCCGTTTGGGGCTTAGGTCACTTTGTACCCCTCAAGAACAGCATAGGAAAAGGTAGAAGAACCCCTCATCAAACCTTAATGCTAAACTTGCCCAACCCAGAATCACCAAATTGATCCTTAATTTTTTAAAAATATATTATCATAATATAAGCCCGAAACATGCAACCTCCTTAGTTTGCAAGCATTCGTTAGCGGGCTCTGATTCTGGGCCCATCAAGCAACAGCAATCATGACCACCGTGAAAGAAAGGAATTGAGACTAACACTGGCTGAAACACTCACTTAGGGGCGGCGTACCTTAGCCCAAAAAAGGTTAACCTTTTGAATTATGATAGGTTTATATAAGCCGCAAAAAGGTTAAAGGTTACCTACTCAGCCCCTAAGCTCATGGTTCAATAATCACAGCAAGAAGAAACAGATCTGGGTTATTAATGGCAGTTGCACGCCTGGGCTACGGTTGTTTAAAGTTTCTCCTTGAAAGTCCTGAATTGCTGCCTGTGAAGCCCCGGTGGAAGTGTTCTGTTCTTGGCTTCGGGACGTGGGGTCTTCAATCACATGTACCCAGGACACCCAGAACATCTTGATTCTTTCAGGGCTCTGCCAGGGCACTACAAGGTATTACAATTGGTGACGAGTATAGCGAATCTTCGTAGAAACCCGAAACCGAAAAGAATTCTGGAACGCGTAGCCCCTGAAGGTGCTTGAGGTCCCGACGATCGATTCCGAAGCAGGATCGCTTCCATGCAAGCACAGCGGGGCTGAAAAGTCTGGGATCTAGGTTCGGACTAAATCGTTGAGAAATTGCCCGTGGCCTACCGAACATGCGCTCGAACATGATGCTAGGTTGAGGATAGAATAACTCCGATGTAATGGACAGGACCTCAACGGTTCAGGGGCACAGGGTTCGATCCCTAAGCCGTAGTAAAACCTAGGCCCCAAACTTCCACATCCGATGCCCCGAAAAGCCTAGATCCATATTCTCGAATCCATCTGAACACTAATCCTGCACACTCAGAGCCGCATGCACTCCGCAAACCCTTATAGCCTTATTGGCACAAGGAAGCCACAAATCCTGAATCCTCAAGGGTGACAAGTCAACCTATCACCGGCGCACTCGTCCATGCCCAAGCGGGCCGAGTTCTCCTTTCGGGAACTGAAAAGGGTTCAGGTTCAGGTTTGAGGGTTCGCTTGTTCGGGTTCAAGGCTTTCCAGTGCGAGGGCATGGATAGTTGCAAGAACGCTGTAAACATGGACGGCAGTCTAGTAAACTACCAAATCTACGTGCTGAGCCTCAAGGTGGGGAGTGCAAGTAACCGAAAACGGGCACGTGCCCATGCCACGAACGAGGACTAGATGGCTTTAAACAGCAACATCTGACTGTATGTTTCCCTTCTAAACCACCCAGCCCTAAACCCTAAACTACCATAAACTACCCAAGTCCCAAGTACCTTAGTTGAATGCAAGGCTTCTAAAAAAGGGATTACTATTTGGGCCGGTATCCCCCATAATAAAGCAACTACATCCGCTAATCCGCCCAAAGAACCCGAACATTACCTTAGAAATTCCATGCAAGAAAGAACATTACTTGACGCACACCATAACACCTACCTGTAGCCGAAAAGACCCACCTTGTCGGGGTTCCTTGTTACGGTGTATATATATAGCTCCTTAAACATGTAAGTCCTTTGGGCCACAGGCCAAGCTAAACTCCAAACCCTAAACCCTTCAACCCTGAACCCTTAACCCTAAACCTCTAAACTGAGCCCTACACCTCAACCCAAGGACCGAATCTCAGCCCAGGCCGATCCTCGAGCTGTTGGAAGAGCTGAGGAAGGCTTAAACCGCTTCGCGGTAAGCGAAACCTGCCGCATTGAGGGTAGCTTACGGTTCTAGGACTTAAGCAAATCCGTATGGAAGCCCTAAACCCGTAAGGTTTGGGGATACAGGGCTTTAGGGTTATTGAGGGGCTCAAGGGTTGGCTAAGGCTTCCGATCGGAAAAGCACGGGCCCGGGGCTTGGGGTGTTGTCGGTTGAGGGTGGCCGCCCCCAAAACCACAACCGCACCAAAAGGCTCTGATTGCTCTGTCACAAAGTGCCCAATGAGTGTGCAAAGAAAACGGTGACTAGTCCGGATAGTGTACAAAGCACCTGTGCATCACCGGAAACTGCAATGCTCGCCGGATGGAAGGCACGGGCAACAGAAGCACTGCAGTCCGCTCTCTGGCTACAACTCCTCCAAGCTTCACTCCGAACCGGTAATGAAGCTAAAAAGAAAGTTTATCATTTCAAGACCTGGTCACATTCCCGAGTTGGAATGCTCCCATAACTTAGCCGTAAAGCTTAGAACCGAGCTGCGAGCTAGACATGTACACTGCCAGTAGCTCAACAGCCCAAACTTTGGATTGCCTGAACACTCGAAAATCCTCAACGCCAGAAAAAAACAATCTCTGGCTCAACCTTGAGTCCAAGATCCTGCATTCTTGTTCACAAACCTTAACTTCAACAGCCTGAGCCGCCAACATTACACGAAAGATATCCCAAAACAACACCGAAGTAACAAGTATACCCAGCATCCTAAATCCAAAACCCTGTTAGACGCCTCCAATACAGCCCGAAGTCTTCAGCCAACTCCACACGATCGCCTGAGCCACCACTTGTTTTGGTGTTCGTTTTCTTTGGGTGCGTGGGGTTAGGGTTTGGGGTTCAGGCGATTCTGGGTTTGGGGTGGTTTCGGATTTCGCGCCGGTTTCTTTGCTTGTGTTGTTAAGTTGCACTTGCTTCGGGTGGAGGGTGCTTCTTGGGCTCAGCAAACATGCGGACCCTAAATCCTAAACTTGGTTCAGTGGACGCTTCGAAAATGTCCGTGGTTGCAGGATGCAGCGTTAGGGTGCTTCGGGATAATAACCCTAAGCCCAAAACCCTACCGTTTCGGGAAGCATGGCTTCCAAACTTTGCTTTAGGGCCCAGCTTGGCACGACCCAAAGCCCCTTTTAACTAGCAAGCTTCGCGATTGGAAGCCGAAACTTTACACCTCGCAGCTGACTCATATGATGGAGAGCTAAACTTTAAACAAGCCGCTGAAGCAACCCTTAAAACCCTAACCTTAATAAATCTAAACTGTTGAACCTGAACCAAACCTCAAACAACAAACCCTAAACCCCTAAGGTCTAAAACTCTAAAGCCTGAAACGGAGCCCGCCTGCCAGAGACTGAAGGAACTCTTCGATGGCATGGCCTTTCGCCTTCCACGGCGGAGGACGCAGGGGGCTTCAGGGGGGTTTAGAGTTTAGGGTCTAGAGTTGAACGGTTTCGGGGGTTTGGGGCTTGTGGGTTTCGGGCTTGTGTGTTTAATGGGCTTCTTGGCGGGCTTGGAGCTTTTGTCAGGGAGCTGAAGCAGTTTTGAGCGGTTGAGATTAAGGGTGTGAGGGAGGTAGGTTATCATTGCTAAACAGATTAAGGTCACGAGGTTTAGCGTTTCTGGATTAAAGATGTAAGACTGCAAGGAGGACGAAGTTTTGTGAAGAGGTTGATCAAAAGTTACCATACTAGGGGTATGCATCGAGACAAACGATGCCCGTATTGTGCTTACAGAACCGCTGCGAATCCCAAAAACGAAGCCTGATCAAACCCTTATAGAACTTGTACAGAATCCTTCTCAGAGAGATCGCCAAAGCTCTCAACCCATAAACCCCAAGCGCCCTAAACCCTCTTTCATGCCCGGATTAAGCACAAAAAGCACACGAATTCGCACAAACTCCTATGAAGCCCAACCAGAGCTCTCTCAGCTCAGACCCTTTTTCCTGGCCTGCTGAAGCCACCACTCCGCGAGCACGGAGGCCTCTACGCAGCCTCGCTGCTCGAGCTGTAGCCGGACCTCACTTTATTTTTTACTTTTTTAGGGTTTGTAATATGGGTTATATTAGGTTCTATAAGGGTTTGCAATATGGTTATATTAGGTTCTATAAGGGTTTGTAAAATGGGTTATAGTAGGTTCTAATAAGAGCTCTAGAAGACTATAAGTTATAAGAGTTCTATAAGGATTTAGGGTATGTAATTAGGTTCTGTAAGAGGTCTAGAAGGCTATAAGCTACATAAGGGTTCTATAAGGGTTGCATAGGAGTTCTGCTAGAGGGTTTATGTTTTGGAGTTTAGGGAGTTTTGTGAGGGATCCGTCAGGGCTCTATAAGGCTGTAAGGGTACTAGGAGGGTAAGAAAGAATTCTTCCGCAAGGGTTCTGCTGGAGTTCCATAAGGGGTTCTACATGGGTTCTACACGGTTCTAGAAGAGTTCTACAAAGGTTGTATGAGGTTCGGAATGAACAGCAGCAGTATCCCTGTCGGCACTATAGTCCATATAAGTGTACTACGATCTGCCGTATAGAAAAACGGGCTTTTGAAAAAGCTTTGGATCCCTGATTCCAGGCCTAATGGGGTTCTTGTACAGTTGTTGAATCTTTATGGGGTTTTGGCGGGGGTTCAGGGTTTGGAGCTTCGGACCGGTTCCATAGAGCGGTAGAGTTTCGGGATGTTTTAAGGGCGTTTTAGGGCTTTAGGACTTGGCGCTGCGGGGTTTCGGGGTCGAAGCATATTCACCCAAGCACTAGTAGATGGGGCTTAGGAGCCATGGCTATGCTTACACGGACATGGGCCGCAGCAACTTGGCAGCTAGGGTTTTGACGCAGGTAGCTGTAGATATAGTCACTCATTTCAAGTCCCCTGATCCTCCAAGTACGTCTCCCTCAGCCCCAAACCCAAGACCTTGTTATTTGAGGCTGAGGGTTTCGAGTTCAGGACTACGCGACCAAAACACTCAACCCCACACATCAAAACCCTAAATCACCAAGCCCTAAACCCTAAATCCAACAAATCCCAAAACTCCGAACCTTATGCTTTCAGGGTTGGTGTTTCTCTTCTGGCCTTTGATTTAGGATGTTGCATGATTTTGCTTTCAGAATCTCCCCTCGACGAGCCCTGGGTGAGGAAGAGACAATGCAGCGGGGCCGGTAGTACGCCGCCCTGGCTTCTGAAGGTTTCAGGGCCTTGCTTGAACCTCAAACTTTAAACCCTAAGCCAAAGTAAACCGGATAGTGTCTGAGGGTTGCTGCTTCTGAGTTTAGCGTGTTTTTCTTTTTTGAAGTTCAAGTGTTCAGGGCTTTAGGGCTTAGGGTTACTAGGGTTTAGCATTGATGGTGTTGGGGTCCCTACGGCTTGTGGGACTCTAGGCGGGGTTACATCGCTTTGTAGACCACGCCCTAAATCAGTCGGTCCAAATCTACAAAAATTGCACAAAAAGAGCTTCACATGGCGGAGTCTAAGGCCCAGCAGTCGGCTTAATTAATGCATAGGATACATTGGGGGAAATGCCATAGGTTACAGAGAAGGAAATGCAGTAAGCGTCACCCGGGTTTTGTGGGTTTTGGGGATTTGAAGGCAAAGGCACCAGATGGCCAGCATTTGCCAAAGACTTCCGCCCTACGTGCCAAAGCGTGACTGTTTAGGGTGGCAGGCGCAGCTCCAACTGTGACCAAACTTTCTGAACTACGGTGAACTACGGTATGGATGTCCCAACGAGCCGTTTTGGGAGCCGCTAAAAAAAGGCACTCCACTTCTGAAGTGCTTCGGGTCCTTCCATTATCCTTCCCGTCTCTCCGAATGACCGGAACTCTCAAGTCCTTCAGCCCAAACCCTGGATCTCGAAAAAACCAAGCAGAACACATCTAGAAGTCTTGGCAGGCTACAGCGACACTTCCGGCAAGCTGGAACTCTGAACCCTTTCAAACTTCCGTCGCCTTCGCCACGGAGTGGATTCCAACATGGCCATGACGCTGGATGCCTGCCGTCTCGCAAACCGCGATGTAGGGAAGCCTACATAACTCGTGCTACAATGCCTTCACGGCCCTTTTAAAAGCTATCATATGATGTAGACTCCGAGACCCGAATCCTTGTATCCCTACACCCCAATGCCGAAGCCCCTGCTGGCAGTGCCCACGACCCAAACCAAATCCGATCATCTAGCCCTACTCGAGATTCTACCCCCCAACTTGAAGGACCACGGGGCATGGCAATGTGAGTAGGAACATCTCATCTCGAAGGGCGCCGAGCAGAGCGCAATATGTTATGGTCTATTAAAACCCTGCATGCTACTCTTCGGATAAAAGGATCTTGCTGAGCCCGAAGGAAGCCGCATCTGCCTCGAGCTCAGAGCTCATGTCTCGCCTAGGCAAGGCCCACGTAGTCTTGAGGTCTGGAGCGAGTGATGGGCTTCAGCGAGCTGTTAAAAGCCGACCTTTCAGTATTGCAGTCTGAAAGAAACTCTGGACCGTCAAAGCTCCTAGATTAAAGGTGCAGATGTGCATAGCTGGAGCTGAGACCTGTCCGAAGAATACCATAAAAAGATGCTACTTGGAGGTTCAAGGGTAGTTATAAGCGGGGTTATAATCAGGGTAACTATAGTGATAACCCATATTTGGGGACTTGCAACCCCACTTATAACTACCCTTCAAGGCCCAGGCTATGGAGGGTCCCTGGTGCCTAGACGCCCTGAAGGCTGGCTGATGGGAGGGTCGGGAGGTCTTTGCTCCTGGCACTTGGGTTCAAGTGAAAGATTTCTGAGTGGAAGAGAACACAAACATCCGCAGTAAAGGAATCTAGCAGCAACCTCAGCCGGGTTGAGGGATGTAAGAGCTTTGGTGCTCTCAGAAGCCCGAAGAGTCCGAAGAGAGCAAAAACCCAGGCCCCATGACGGTCACGTCTGAACCCTAAACCCAAAAACTACAAACCCTAAAGGCCTTAAGCCCCAAACAGCCCCCTAGTTCCGAATAACACGTGGCCGAGGCCCCGGCATCACTTGATTCAGGGCTTCCTGACATGCCAGGGTTTGATGGAAGTGGTGTAAAGCTCCCTTTCGGGCATGACTGGTAGTTTAAACAGAATGCCTTATGAATGTATTGGGAGGTTTATGCACATGATCCCCACGTGAGGACATAATCTAGAGCGGCTGCCCATTTTCGATGGTTATGGTGTGAAGCATGGGTCGAAACGATCCCAGCTGTGAATTTCGAACCCGGCGATCGACGGCACTGCAGCCGTGACATGCGTCGCTCACGACGGCAGCCCGTAGCACCTTGCAAAACCGTCAAACAACATATTAATATCGGCTCTGCTTCGGCTTCGACCTTCAAAGAAGCCAAGTTTAGAAAAGGAAGAACCCCGGAAGCGTGAAACCTCGCACCCCAATGTTTCAGCCTCCCCAGATCTCTGAGACGTCCTATCCCTGGACCCCCAAACCAAGGACGCCGCGCCCACTGCCAGGCTGCATTGTGCTTCTTTCCCGGGTTTGGACAGGGAACCCACCCCCAGACCACAAACCTCGAATGCTAAACCTAAATCAAGAATGCATAATTTAAACTTTAGACGCTGCACGACCTGCAACCCTAAACTGGAAACCTAAATCTGAGGAGAGAAGATTACACTTGTACGTGACAGCATCCAGGATCCCAACATTCAGCAGTGTTCCTTGTCCCTCGATAAGGTTCTTTCTATCCGTAATGCAAGTGTCTTCCAAGAATAACAGCAAAGTCCCGTGTAGAGCACTCCGACAACCTTTCTGAACGTCCAGATACTCAATGACCTGAAACTCTCAACATCCCTGTCAGGGTATTGGTACTTGCAGGCTCATGGGTAGATTATAAGTGGGGTTATAAGTCCCCTAATATGGGTTATAACTTTTGCTACCCTAATTATAACCCCACTTATAACTAGCCTTGAACCTCCAAGTAGTGAATCGCGGAGATCCAGCACCCTAGACCTCAAGCTGCCTGGACATGCGCAAGCTAAACAAAAAGCTTTCACCGTGAGCGAGTGACCCACTGGACCCCAAAACGCTTTCCAAACTTCACACCCTATATGTCGATAGCCCATAAACCCAAAAGCTCTACGAACCCCAAACTCCCTAAACCTAAGCACCCAAGCTGTCCTCACTCTCCGGGCGAAGTCTCAAAACCAGCTCTTGGCTGCTCCCGTGCTTCTCCTGTGGCAAGATGTGCAAAGGAACCCTAAGCCCTACAAGTCCGGAAAATGCTGGGGCCTGGCCTGGAAAGCCCCACTATAGGGGCCATAACAAGTTAGATTTGGGTTTGCTTTTTTTTTTTTGTACTGGAACTGTAATAAGGAAGGAACCCTGTTCTAGTTTTTAAGGCCCTTATGTTACTTGGAGGATCATGGGACTCAGCCAATACGGTTATCGAGCAACTGAATTAATCCCTTCTACCGAATATTAAGCGGGGAGGACCCCCCAAATAGAAACGAGAACTTATTTTCATAATTAAGGCGGTTGCATCTCTCTGTCCCTGTTTGGGATGTTGCTGTTCCTATTGATCTGGCTGGTGCTCCTGCTCTGGCTGCTGCTCCTTCTCTTGCTGTCGCCTGCTTCTGCTCTTGCTCTTGAACCCCTCTGATCCAACCTAGGTTCTATAGGGGGTTTTCCGACATGTGTGTCAACCATGGGGGGTGTTGAGGGGCTTAGTGGCATGAAAAATCATGAATGTTAGCTATAGTTGCCTTATCAGCTCCCCACCACACACACCAGACCTTGAGTTTCAGAGGCCTAGAAGCGCTTTTCCCAAATTGAACCCTCGACCTGGCTCCCCCCCGGTAATGACATCTTAAGCCCAAGACCACACCTCTAAGCACAAGACGCCCGACCATCACCGACCCGCCAGGGTCCAAGGTTGTTCCTGCTGGCTGTGCGGGTCTACCAACAGCATTACATGTACAAACAACCACAAAACAAATGTTGTGCATATACAATATGCATATATATATATATGTACATACATACATATGTTCATATTGTATGTAGCTATCTGTTTGTCTGTTCATGTTTGTTCATCATGGAGACCGAAATGATACATAGCTACATGTGTGTGTGTGTGTGTGCACTGATGCAAATGGAGATGCCCACGCAAGGATTGCGACAGCGCAATTCACCCAATGCCTTGATCTGCTGCGCTGTGCCCACCTCTGCTTTGGAGCTTGGGCCTTTAGGGTTTTCCAAAACTGCAATAGCACCGGCAAGCCCTAAGCAGCCACATTCGCGTCACAAATTCAGGGGCATACAGATTCAGTTTGGGGGTTTAAGGTTTACAGTGTCAGAAGATATTCGGTGAAAAACTGACAGATCCTTGGGTTGACGGTTTGAGGGCTTAAAGGTACAAAGGGCTGCCCTTGGCGAGTGATTCGTCAGCCTGAGGACCAACTATCAACCGGAAACCTTGGCAAAAAGGTACCAGCTGAGTTCTCAGGGGCTGGGATTCTACGATGGTTGTATGAGGGCTCTACAAAGGTCTATGCGGTCTTTTCGCTGGTGTGTTTCTCACGGTTTTCGGATTAATCAACTTTGTTTATGATACGAGTACCATCGTAAGGAAATCATCGTATTCATCATATACCCTCGCAGGTCAGTTAAACTGAAATCGAAGGCAAACAAACTATAAAAACATCATCGTAAGGACTGATTGAACACTCTTTCAATGCTTCAGGCATCCGTCCTAAAGCCCTGAGATAAAGCACCCAAAACCGCAAAAACCTAAGCCCAACACCCTAGAATCAAAGCCCGAGAAACCCTAAACCCAAACCCTACAAGCTAAAGCCCCAGAGGCCAGCGCCCTCAACCCCCAAACCCTTCTTGGATCCCGGGCCGTTAGGAGCTGACCCTCTGCCATAATACCAAGGCGACTGGATAAGGCCTTGGTGGCTTTCAATGGATTTGGGGTTTTCCAGGTTTTTAAGGTTTTATGGTTCAGGGATTTGCAAGCTTGTATACGGCGTCTGCTGAAAGTGTTCAAGGGCTCAGATTTTGGGAAATCTGGAACATGTAAAGATTTTGGGGAGGTTCAAGGCTTGAGGTAAGGTCGAGAGTGATTAAGAAGAGTTTGGGCTTCTAGGGGGTTTCGGCTTTGAGATTCTGGGTTTAGCATCCAGCATTCGGCCCCTCCTCTGCGCTGTCATTTGCGGAACCTGCAATCGTGTCAATCTGCAGGCCATGTACTGGCAAGGTGGGGGTGTTGAGACTTAGCTTCGGTGTGCAAGGACGCTGCAAGGAGGATTGCAAACACCCGGAAGGCTCCGAAGCCCTACTTCAGTCCCTCTCCAACCCCTCTCCGAAACCATAGTCACTAGACCGGTGAAGACCCCAGATAGCTTGGAAAGCGTCAGAACTGTTCATGGTTTCGGGCAAAAATTAGTGTCAAGTGGGTTACAACACGGGAGGTCATCCAGTTGGCTCTTCCTTTTTGTGTTGCCCCCAAGTAGTTTGGCGCGTGCATTGGTGTTTTAGGATCAGGCTTGCCAATCCGCGAATTCCAACGTCTGGGCTCTCTTCTTCACATGTCTCCATTGCGGCTTGTGACGCCATTAAAACTCCACTCGGCCTTTCCCTTCTTTCGGGTTGCTGGGCCGGGTGTTTGCCAAGGTCAAGAAATTACCATCCCTAACAGTGAAAGTCAGTCCCTCATTGTTCATCTTGTATGTCATTCTGTAGCCGGTCAATCGGGACATTTGCGCTGGCAAAGTTTTGGAGGCTTCGATTCGAGGATCGAGCATTTCCTTTCTCTGTTTTTACGCGCCGGAACCATTTCAGCTGTGCGTCGTTCACTTCCCATGTGTCATACGTGTAATCATGAACAGTCTTTTTGCCCTGTGCCGCAGCAATCAGGGCGCCAATCTGCTGAAGATAGTCAAGCTCCGACACACACAGCAAACCCCCAATGCACCAAGCTGTTGCTCCGTTCCCGACATCACATCAGTCTAACAACTCGCTGCCAGACTCGCCGCATCTACAACGGCATGCGGAATGACAGTCGGTGTCAGGTACACCAGTGTACCCTGTCGCAGAATCTCAACAGGGTTTCCAGTCGAGTCAATCAAGGCAAGATAGTCTCGGGCCTGTACGGTCCAAAAGTCCTGCAACAATAGTCTGCAATATTGACCAGTGGAAACGGCATCCCAGTGTACGCGTAGAACTGTACGCTCAAGAATGCCCATTGCTACAGTCAAGCTGCGCCATCTTCCTGCCTTGCACATCCAATGTCTTGGGCGCCGGACACGGCGCGCCTCACCTGCACGCCATGTGCGTGCCGACTGCGCGGCGCTGCACCCCGTTTGCCGGCGACGGACACGGCGCGCCCCACCTGCATGCCGCCTGTATGACACCTGCACCGCGACTTCATGCCTCTGCACCTGTCGCCGAGACGGTGCAGCCCACCAGCATGCCGCCTGCACGCCGACTGCATGCCGCTGCACCCCGTTCACCGGCGACGGACATGGCGCGCCCCACCTGCATGCCGACTGCATGCGGCTGCACCCTTTGCGGCGGCAGTGGACACGAAGGGCTCCTTGTTTAGCCAGAACCCCTAATACGTTAAAGGTATCTGGGGACTAAATTTGGTTGACTTTTCTGTTCTGATCTGGGCGGGTCCAGGAGCGTTTTTTGGACTTGTTCCTGCGGTTGGCTGGCTTTCAAACCGCAAATCAGTCCATCAACCAAATTGGGTTGATTTTTGTGTGATAATTTGGACGGGTTAAAGAGCGTTTCTTGGACTCGACTTGTGCGTTTGTTCCTGCCGTTTGCTGGCTTTCAAGCCGCAAATCAGTCCCCATGAAAACTCGTCCAAACAATCAACTAAATGGTTGATTTTTCTGCGGTAAGTTTGGCGGGTCAAACAGCCTTTGTTTGGACCTACTTGTGCACTTGTTTCCGCCGTTGGCTGGCTTTCAAGTTGCAAATCAGTCCCCAACACTCGTCCGAAAAAACATGTAAATTTGGTTGAATTTTCTGTGGTTAGTTTGGGTGGGTCCAGGAACGTCTTTTGGACCCGACTTGTGCACTTATTTCTGCCGTTGGCTGGCTTTCAAGCTGCAGATCAGTCCCTAAAACTCGTGGAAAATTAACAAATTTTGGTTGACTTCTCCGTGGGTCCAGGAGCGGTTTTTGGATCCGCTTGTTACTGCCGTTGGCTGGCTTTCAAAGAGGAAACCAATCCCCAAAGCCCTATCCCCACGCAGCCCCCCCAGCAAAAGGGCTACGTGGGAGCCCAAAAACCGAAACCGCCAAATTTTCGGCCCTGAATTAAAATCTTAAAGCCCTTATGCCATAACACGCCAAATCCCAAACCCTGAACCCACAACCCCACGCAGCCCCTAAACCTCAAAAACCCCAAGCCCTAGCCCCTAAACTCTACACGCCCAACAATGCCCCTACATTCAACCCCGAGCGTTACCCCCCCTGTTCTAACCTGAAACACAAAAAAAACAACAACCCTTCACCCGACCTCCGCCTCTTCCATGGAGTGCGTGGTCAGCAGCACAGCCGAGGGAGTCGAGCTCGGCTGGGCCCTGGCGGCTGAGCGAAGCAAGGCGTGCAGGGTCTAGGGGTTCAGGGTTTAAGGATTGAGATTTAGGCTTTAGAGCTTTAGAGCTTGAGGGTTTAGAGTTGTAGAGTATTGGGGCCTTCGACTTTAGATGGCTGTGCAGCTTGAGGGGGGTCAAGGTTCTGGATTGAGGGATGTTGCCCTGGTTGTGCAACGAGTCTATTGCGGTGGCAAATCTTTTTGCTACTGATCGAGGGTCTATTGCTTCCACCACGGCTTCTGTTCCGGCACTGGCGCCACTGCATTCTTCACTGGCAGCTATGACACTAGGTGCTGCACATTTGGTCCTGGATGCTAGATTCCCGGATAAGCAACAGCATCATGAGCAACAGCAGCAGCCCCAGCACCAGCGCCACCACACCGCCAACAACGACAAAGAAGAAGATCAAACACGGTTAACAATCACAGCATCAGTTGCAACACCAGCCACTTCCCGCACCGCTGTTCGTACAAGCTACTGCTTACGTTGCTCGTCATAAACATGAGCCAACACAGCCGGCAGGTTTCCCTTCCGCACTTTTCGGAGCCGCAGGAACTCGCTCTTTCCTCATCTGGCCCGATCCCGAGCGAATCCTAC